TCGTCTCCAATCTCATCAATCACCTGGTCAGTAGCAGATTGAAAGACTGTGTGGAGTCCTGGCACTTGTGCTGGCGGTTCCACATGTGGGCTCCAACGTAGGGGATGTGGAAGCCGATTTTCTAAAAGGTCCGACCAATGACATTGTCTGCCATGGGGCACAGCTTTTATCACTCCACCCTCGACTGGAGTGATATTCTGGCCTCGCACCAGGGGGTTCAGCCGGCCGAACACGTAGAAGTCAACCTCGCCCTCTCGAAACTCCGGTAGTTGTCTAGCAGCCGCTTGCAGGGTAACTCGCCCCTCATGATAGAATGCATAGGCTGTGCCACCCACAGCTCTGGCATCCATGACGAGGGTGGTGCGGTTGGTGTTGCGAAGCCAGACCGGTTGTGCCACAAAGCTGCCAAAATAGTCTCCCAGCTGGGGGACAGTAGGGTGGAACTCATCCAAACTGTCCGGCACAGTGTTGCAAGCTCCTCGTAATGCAGCTTTCATGGACGCCGTAGAAAGCGGCAGGGGTAGTTCCATGTCCACCGTCTCCGCCTCATAGAAAACCGCTGCCACCCATACTGTAACATGGAGGGCTCTGTCATCCATGGTGGGCTGGGCTGCTTCTCCAATCATTTCTGGTGGCACCACCGAAAAATTGGGCGGGTCAGCTGTGTTGCTATTGTGTTGTAGAGGCATCTCGTAGATGTGTCTTTGCAGAGCCTCCGCAAGCTGCTCTGCAATAGTCCTCTGTCCTGAAGCCCACAGCTCAAGATCCGTAGGCCTGGGAACTGCTGGCAGTCCATTGGTCCTGGGCATTTGGGGCACTGCCAGTGTACCTGGCAATATTGTCAGGGCCAGAGCAGCTCGCCACACGTTTGCGCTGACTGGCCTTAGTTGGCATTGTCTCCGCAATGCTCTGGGCTGGGGGCTTGCATACCAAAGCAGCCACCAAACCTCAATGAGGGATACGGCCATAAAGGTCAGTATCAGCCCCCAACTGCATATCTGCATGTATACAGCATGGCTGTTCCACCAACCTTGTAGGGTATTGTCCAGGGCCTCAAAGAGGTCCAGGATGTCAAAACTGCCGGAAAAACCAGGTCGCTCCCAAAGCAGGCTTTCGCTGGTTTCTCCTCGGTCCTCTGCACGGACGTGGCCTCCCTTAGGGCCGTGCCTGCAGCCAGGACTCACAAAAGAAGTATTGGGAGCAAGGGGAACAGGCCGAAAAAGTCCCTGATATTGCTCCATAGCCTCCGCTGGCATGCCCACCAACGGTAGGTGTCGACGAGGAAAGAGGTCTGCAGTAGAGGGGGTCTTCCCATCAGACTCACCCTCAATCACGCTTCTGCATCCATCCACAGTTGTCACTCGATAATCTCCTGTGGGACCTCCTTCTCCCTCCCGAGGTGGCCAACCATGAGCTCGTCCTCCTCTTCGTCCGAAATACTGATCCCGGCTTCCTTTCGTTCCGCCAGGACTGCCTTCCGCTTGGCCTCGAGCTTCCTGGCCAAAGCTGTTCCTGGCTTCGGACTGGGTGCGGGTCTCCGTCCCAACATCTTGATGGGTGTCCGCTGGGTTCTGACCCTCGCTCGCGATGGGGTCCGAGTCTCTGGCCCAGGTACCGTCGTCACACGGCTCGGCGAGACCATATAGGGATCTGTAGGCATCTCCTCCTCGTGCTCCTCCGTGTCCGCTCGCTTTCTCCGTATGAAGCCACTGGCCATCTCCATGAAGGCATCCCAGTCCTTGGGTTTGCGGCTTGCTCCACTCCCTTTCGGCGGCCGTGGTGGTGTCATAGCATCTGCCGCTTCGGTCTTCGTTCTGGTAGGGGTCTTGGCAGCCAGGAACTCCTTGAGCTGGACTCCCAGTGTCTCGGCTAAGGCCGCCGTCATCTCCACATCTGGTTCGTCGTCGCATGCTGCCAGAAGTTTCTCCCATTCTTGCACGGCCTCCTTGGTGGGCTGCTCTTCTGGCTTTCCCCGGATCGCCGTCGGGTTGTTGAACACTTGTTGTAAATCCTCGAAGGCGTCTTGCTGAGCCTCGTGGAGCTTGTCCAGTTCCGTCTGGTTGCGCTGCAGGTCCTTCTTGTAAAGGTCTCTCTCCTTCACAAAGGCAGCCTGCAACTCCGATTGGAACTTCTGCCACCGCCCAAGAATCATCTCTCGCTCTTCCTGAGCTTTGCGGACTCTTATCTCCGCCTTTCGGGCCACAGTGACAAACCGTTGGATACCTCTCACAAACTCTCCAGGTCGGATCGGGAGGTCGTCCGTCTCGGCCTTGGGGTCGTCTTTGGCAGGCTTGTCCTCCAGGCTCATCGTCGAGTAGGAAGGGAATTTGGGCTTGTCTTCCGTCCACTTCTGGCCCTTCGGCCAGGCATCTCGCTGCCGGTAGCTTCCAGAGGGCTGGGAGTCCGATGGCTGCCATCCATAGGACTGCGACTTGTGCCATCCATCGTAGTTGTGGTCTTTGCGGCCCCATTCTTGATTGCGACGGCCCATTGACTCACGGTAGAGCGGGCGGCTGTGGTGTCCTTGCAGCAGACGGATGTCCTTTGCAGCTGGTGGTATTCGCTTCTTTCGGGCCACTCGCACACGCAGCCTGGCCTTTGATCGCCGGCGCCTTTCGTTGCGGTGCCAGGTTGGAGAAGCCACGGACCTTTTTCCTATGGCTTCACAGGCGTGCGGCGATTCCCGCACTGGGGTTGTTGGCTATTCCTCGCTACGGGAGGCTCGATCCAAACCCTACACATCTATATTTATATATATATATATAGAGAGAGAGAGAGAGAGAGAGAGAGAGTATCATAGCATACGGTATAATAGCAGAAAGCAGGAGGATGCGGTCGACTTCGAGCGGGCACTCGAGGAGCTGGCTATCGCCAGGTTGCCTGTGACAGTAGCACCCCCTAGGCTTCCAAGGACCTGAAAGTTAGGGCCCCAGACCCCTTCAGGACCCAATAATAGAGTCCTAAACCCTAAACCCTAAACCCCTAACCCCTAAACCCTAAACCCTAAACCCCTAAACCCTAAACCCCTAAACCCTAAACCCTAAACCCTAAGCCTAGGGACCAACCCTGAACCCCAAGCCCTCTCGACTCCAACCCTGCAATTTCGGGCTCGCCCTTGCTACGTAGGAGCGAAAAAAACCGAGGCTCTATGGTTTTATAGCGGGTGTTATAGGGTGTCTTTAGGGGGTCATAGATGTCCAGAAACGTTTACGTTGCTTTTGTTGGCGGCGGGGCTTCTTGAAATCCAGGTTTCCCTACTAAGAGGGGCCTACCATGGAGGGTTTGGACTAAGGGCATCTTCTGTTACAGCTCCTCGGTTCTGAGCCCTGCACTTACTATCTAAACCCACGAAGCCCAACACCCTGAAACATGAAAATCCTCGGTTTGGGGAACCTTAGACTAAATGCCTTAGACCCTAAAGTCGCCATTGGCCCACCCCAAACCTCAACCCCTGAACCACAAATCTTAGACTCTCAGACTCTATAGCGACTTAAGCCCCAACCCTACACAGCTTCAACCCTCATCCCGAGGCCCCGCAGTCTTAAACCACCCTAGCGCCAAACCTGAAACCCCAATCAAGTCTCTTAACGCCCTGAGAAAGAACAACCTGTCGGCCCTCAGACAAAACCCTAAACTCTAAACCCTAACCCTAAACCCTAGACTGTTCGGAACAGCACCCTGCAATGCGGGCTCGTCCTTGCTAAGTGGGAGGGAAAAAAACCCTAAACCCTAAACCCTAAACCCTAGCCCTAAACCCTATAACCCTAAACCCTATACCCTAACCCTATAAACCCTAACCCTAAACCCTGAACCCAAGCCGCAGAGCTCAAGGCCCGAAGCGCCCTTGAACCAAGCCTTACAGCCCTCAAAAGCGCAGCTCCACAGATAGACCCCAAAAGCCCTAAGCCCATACTTTAAGCCTTGGAACCAGACCCCAGACCACACTTTGGCAAGCAGATGTTTAAAGTATACATAGACGCAGAAACATATGTATTGACATACCTGTCGGATGTCTTTAGATACTTAGCTTCTTGCTTTATAACTTATTAATTTCGCTTTTTTTTGATTTTTCATTTCTGTACTTGTTTACAGCGCTAGACCCTACACCTGATATTGGGACTCTGAATACATTTGTTGTTTGTTTTTTGTTCCAGCCGTGAAGGAGATCTCGGCCTCAGCGCAGGTGGACCCGGAATGGGAGAACGGCGTTCAAAAGGCCCGGCTTTGGGCGGGCGGGCGGGGTTAGGGCTTACGGTTGAGGGTTTAGGGTTTGGAGAGGGGGGGGGGTAGGGGTTAGGATTTGAAGGCTTAAGGTTTAGGGGGTGGTGGCGGGTTGCTCAGGGTTTCCCTTAAGGATGTTTATCTAGATTCTAGGGAGGGTTCTCTGCGGGTTGATCTTTTGGGGTTTATGCTGGGGGATGGGGTTTGACATTATATGGGAATGTCTGGGGAGTGCAGGTTCGATATCGGGCTTAATCTGGGTTCCATGGTAAAGGTTTATTCGAGTTTCGGAGTTTGTTGTTTTTTGAGGTGCGGTGGGTTTGGGGTAGGCCTTACACTGGGCCTGTTGAGGGGACTTGGGATTTAGATACTTTGGGTTTGGCTTGGGATTCAGGATGAGGAGTTTTTGCTGGCCCTGGCGATCACTGAGAGGACCCGGGATTGAAGGCCTTTTGCAGTTAGCTTTGTTATGGGGTTCTGGGGTGCAGGATGTAGGGTTGCCTGTGGCTGGTTCTCTAAATTGAGGTCCCCTTTAGATGTAGCGTCTTTTCTTAAGGTGCCGTAACTTGCAAGCAGAACGAAGGCCAAGCTCCTGAAGCTCAAACCAGGGTTTAGGGTTTAGGGGTTTAGGGTTTAGGGGTTTAGGGTTTAGGGTTTAGGGCCATAAGTGCCGTAGTTAACCCTGAACCCAAAACCCAGTAGCCACATTGACATATATCAGTTCTTACAACTTGCATCTTCAGCGTGGCCCTGCGCCAAAGCCCTCTGCTGCTTAGGCCATGATGCTGGTACAGAGCGACTTCGGCGACGACGCCGCCAACACCCTGCTGCGGCAGGCATGCCAAACCCCAGAGCCTAAAGCCTAAAGCCACAACGCCATAACTCCCAAACCCTAAGTTGCGACATGTTGCGACGATGAAGACCCAGAAGGGGTCGCTTCGGCGGATAACATTGGGGCTGTAGGACGATTGGGGATATCTCCAATGCACTACAAAATCCCATGAACCCTCACCTCAATCCGGACTCCTGATACCCTCCAGTCTGCATAAGCCCTAAACCCTGAGCCGTAGCAATTTTGGCCCAAGCTCGCCAGTTCCCGGACCCGTGAGCCTGAGCAACTTTCGACATTGAGCCATGGCGTTGATTATGTCATACGATTATTGGACGGACGAAGGAGAGCAGTCCAATGCCGCTTCTGTTCGCCACTACACTTCTCGTCGCGGATATTTTCTGTGCGAGGTGAGAACGCCTCTCAGCCTGATGCTGCACTGAAACACAGTGGACGGTGTAAGATGGAGAAAGCCCAGTGGCTGGTTTTATGGCATGGACGAGCATTCTGCTGACATGCAGAGCAGTCCGGAGATGAACAACTCTCTGGACATTCAGCCTCTCGGTTTCGTGTCTATCCTCCCTCCTGCTGGCAACCTTTCCCCCAGGATGTGCTGCAGGCCAGCGAGGATATGGGCCTGGACTTGGGGGAGTTGATGGAGGCGTCGCCCTCAGAGTAGGCCTCGAAACTTCACGCACACGTTCGCCAGACTGCACGGGAGGCACCCGGACAAAGCCCCACCCAAGTTGCGCCAAGAGCCTCGCTGGCGCAAGCAGCCTCCACGCAATTCTCCTTGGAGCTGGGGCAGTGGGAAGGGCGACTCAGGCTCCGGGTCGTCTTCAGGAGGTGGCGCCGCCTCCAACTCTTCCGCTGGCCAACTTCTTCTTCATGGACCCTAATTGCACCTTTCATCCTTCTGATCTGTGCGTCACTTTCCCTGACAACTCTGGCAATGACTGTTATGCGGGGACATTCCGAAAGGTGGCAACATTCCGAACGTGGCCATGGTCACAGCTTGAGATGGCATGCCGGTGAAGAATGTCTACGGGGTGAAGACTACCTGTGGTGGGGAGGCAGGACCTCTGGCTGCAGTGGCGACCCTGGCCAACATCAAGGCTTGTCTAATCGCCTTCAGCCACGGGCAGATCTCAAACGAGAGACCACGATAGGTGCGATCTAAGGTTTGAACTCGGGACGCGTCCTTTTCGCGACATTCGCGATTGCGGGGATGTGGACCGCAAGAGTCTGGTGCAAAGCATAGGAAGGCCGCGGGCGGCGACGTCGTCTGCGGCACTGCGGTATCTCGCCGCATGCATGTACTTAATTGTTTCCCGTAGCGGACCAGCTCAGGCCACACAAACCCGAGACACGGCTCGAGAGGAGCCCATGCACTTCGCCCATTCGTGTCAAGCAGTTTTGTGTTATAGGTCAGTTATTGCGGTCTGTATTTGGAGCGAATGCGTGTCCTGTGTAGCGCCGACTCGAGGCCACATGAGTTTCCCTTCGAATTGCCCGAATCGCGAGAGTCTAAACCCTAAAACCCTAAACCCCAAATCTTTAAGGAATACCCTGAAACCCTGAAGTCTAGACACATTCACAAGACGGTTGCTCAACGCATAGAGCCTCGAGCCCTACCCTTCGAGTGTGGAAGCAGGCAAGGCGAACAATATGGAAGCCCAAATAGTTGTGTTTGTTTGGAGTTCTGTATTGTACATGTACTGAAAACGGGCCCAAAACTCTAGTCTAATTGTTAAGGCCCCTACGTTGGTGCGATGTAGAGTTCTGGATGAAGATTTCGGGCCGTTCAATCTGTGGCTTTAATTTCCCGTATGCAGCACTGCTATCAAAAAACGGGTATCAGTGTTATGATTACTATTCTCAAGATGCTGTTCGTTATCAGTAGCATGTCCTCTGAGCATTGATCCTACCTTGGCGGCGAAACTTGACGAGTAGAGCTACGGTGCCGAGCTTGCTCTCGGTGCTCAGCCTGTAGCCATTGTCCTGTAGCCCAACTCCTCCGAACCATAAGACATTGTACCTTTACAGAACCTGGGCCATAAACCACAAAGCCCACACATGACTCAACAGACCATAACCTTCAAACCAGTCCTTGGCTATTTCCCAATAATGCATACAGAAAGGATTGTTGTTGCGTGTGAACACGAGCCTAAGTCTGAATCCCTTTACCTGTACCCCTATAAATTTGACCTGGACCCCTTGGACCCCAGCAGTTTGTGTGATAATTGTTTGTTGTGGGTGTTGGGCCATTGTTTTATCTGCTTGTGGAGGTTTGGGTGCCCCTTTGGGTGAAAGCAATACTAAATCCTGCCGCCTTCGGCCATGCGCTGCGCAGGCCAAAAGAGCTTCGGAAGCTTGTGCGCCTTGGCTCCAGGGTTTGTGCAGGGTGTTGTACGGTTCTGATTGAGTCGGCCAATTTTGCAGCAGTTGCACTAATTTATGAACTGATACTGTCCATGCTGGTGCTTCTGGTTAATATCATATTGAACTTGGTGTGGCTTTTTTCCTACTACAACTTCCTGCTGAGTCGACTGTGGAAGTACGTCTATGGAATTGTGTGTATTGACAGACTTGTGCTTGTACGGCTTTCCCGAAGTTACCAGAGTACCTTAAACAAGGGAAGTATACCTATCTTTGTCCGGTGAATGCATAGTCTTGAGCACTGGTTGCCGTAAGTAATTAGGGGCTGTAGGAGTTTACGGTTTCTTTCGGACTTGCCTATACCGTAGTATCCATTGTAGCTCCTTTTTGGGGTTACCTTATAGGATCCTTACTATAAAATTGGTGAAAAAACAGGATCTACAATGGAGACTATAGGTAGGGCGCAATCGGAAGACAGTCCAGACCACGTGGCGGGCCCAGGAGATGGCGAACGGTGTCCTGCAGATGCTGCCCTCTTCCATCACCGACGGCGTCCGGAGGCAGACTCTGCTCGCACCCAGATATCCTTGGAGCTTTTGGGGGTGGCCCCCTCCTGGACTGAGGAATTTAGCTTTCAGGCAAACACTTCGGGTTAGCGTTCAGGGTAAATGCATTGATGGCCCTCTAACTGGGAACCAAGTAATACTCCTTCGTGGGCACGAGCACGATAGGAGTGCCAGACGATTGGGGTGCCAAAGAGAAGGGTTTGGGGTAAAGTTTGCTGCTCAAGCCCGGGCTAAAATCGGGGCCTTGAGCCAACACCACATGTGGAGCTTCCTGCCGCATCCAACACCCTAGCTGTTGATCCCGAAAGGCCCAAACCGCTAGACTCATAGTGAGCTGTTCAGTGCACCCAGGAAGTCCTGAAACCCTGAACTAGAGTCTTGAAATCCCAGCCCCCTGAAAGATGTCTCGGCCTGCTTTTGGTCCAAGTAGCGTTTAGACTTTGTGGACTGCAGACAAGAGTGCAGTGTTCCGACATTTGATGGATGTTGAAAGCAGTCGCTCAACCCTCGTGTCACTACCATCCCTCCCGCGATCCTGAACATTAAGCCCTGCCCTACCTTGCAAAAATCAGGTAACTTGCAACACTCAACCGTATGTCCTTGCAGCACAAAGCCCCGCATGCAGTCGCGAAACACCGATGCAGAGGAGCTTAGTCATATGGTTTTGGGGCTGGGGGTTGCCGTGTAGGGTAGATCAGCAGTTCATAATCTGCTGCGAGTATGACAGCTCAGACTTGAAGTCTGTTTCCTTTGACCAGAGTCCAATAAATTCTAGTGGTTTTGCCAGGTTCGAGTTGTCCGTCCTCTTCAATGCGCAGGGCCTGCCAGAGGCGCATCGAGGTTGACACAGTTTCGGCAAGTTTCAGGATTTGTTTAGGGTTCCTTTACGGGTGTTGCAAAAGGGTTCGACAAGGGTTGTTTAGTTCAAAGTTGTTTATGAAGGATTCCAGAATTCAGGGTTGCAGGCTCTTGTGTTTAGTTGCCTGAATCTTAGCATAGAAACTCAAGCGTTGAATCCTCGACTTCCCAGCTTGTTGGGCTCACCACCGCAACCCACTCCTTGTAGCTCAACTGAAGTGTCGTTCGAACCATTGCGCGAAACTGTAAGACGAAGAAGAAAAGGATTGTGACAGAAGGGGCATCGCATGGCTTAGGCTATAATTTGGCTCCAGGGTGTAGCAAGTCTAGGGTGTTGGAGTTCTGAAGGATCTGTACCCTGCTATTGCAAGGGTCCTGGTGTCCGTTTCCAGTTTTGTGTGTGTGCGTGTGTCTGCGGCTTAGAGTGGGTTGTAGTCTTTGTGTTCATTGTTTGCAGAGTGTGTTATCCCTAAGCACTAAACCCTACGGGAGGTCTGTGTCGTTGCCCGGCGATCGGATCCAGACGCTTCGCAAGGCTCAGGGGTTGTTCTACAGAACAGCTTCGCATTGCTATCCGGCTAAGAGAAACCTTTTCGGGTTTCATAGGGGTTTAGGGCTCTTAGTAGCGGTTTAAGTGGTTTTTGAAGTCCTTAGAGTCGGCTTTGTGTGGCAAAGGGCCCTCGAGCCAGCTGCGAAACCGCCTGCAAAGGCATGGATCCCTTCCAGGCGGTCTGCATCCGCGGAATCATCGAAGTCCAGCGAAGCCACGAATCGTAAGCACTGATGAACCTTAGTTCGGGGGAAGAGAGATAGATCCTCAGCTACTTATAAGAACATATCCGAAGACTGACGAAGATCCCTTGAAGCCGCTATCGTCTTGCCTTCTCGGCAACAAGTAGAAGACACGCAGTCTCAGCTCCGTGGTAGTAGCGAACGATTGAAGTAAACATTGTATGTCCTCTAAGGCAACAAGCGCAGAAGGCGCTTCGAGATATGATGAACGGTTGAGCCCACCGAAGCAGCAAGAATTTGCCGGCGGACGTAATTGTCAAGCACATCCGCCCGCTGACCCTAAAAGCCGGGTACAACTTGTCAACTCACGCTTCCTTCAAGTCTTCAGCAGCGTAGACCGTTCAGATCTCGATCGGGAAGGCGCTGCTTATCAAATGTGAAGCAGGTTTGGGGTTTAGTGGTTTTGGTTTTAGGAGTTTGGGGGTTAGGCTTGAGGGTTTCGAGAAGATGTATCCCGGATCTTTAGCCCTCAAGCTGAACACGGGGTCAAGCCCTCAGCTGGACCCCGACAAACACAAAGCCTAAATCCCAAAAAACCCGCCGGCCCTAAAGCTAAAGCCCTTGCGCCCAAGTCTTAGGCACTCGAAGCCCAACTCCTACGACCCCGGCACACAGCCCGAAAGCCTAAATCGCAACACAACCCCAAAATGGACACATTCAAAAAGGGGGGGGGGTTCCGAAAATAGGGGACCCTAATTATAGTACCCTAAATAGTAGGATCCTTATTTTTAGGATACCAAAATCTCCTTTTCCCTTTGAAAGGAGATGCTGGTGCGGCGAGCTTGGCAGGAATCTGGGAGGCTGGGCCACTTCAGCCAAGAACTTCCTTGACCGCTTTTGCAAGGGTTTTAGGGTTTTGGGTTTAGGGTTTTAGGGTTTATAGTTGTGACGGTGATGATTTGAGCAAGTTGAGCAGCTATAGGCGGGGCCACATCAAATTGGAGCAAGTGGCCTTCCGGCCCCAAACCGATGCCACCGCCGTTGGTTCAAGTGCGGCCGAGAGTTAGCGCGTAGCTGCCGGCACCCCCATCCTCACGCAGCCATGAGCCAGCTAAGGACAGCCGTCGCACTCGTCGCGGCTGCGTGCCTGGTAAGCATCGCGTGCGAGGCCTTCGTGTCGCCGTCGGCACGCCCTGCGCCGCTCGGTGCGGCGCCCAAGGCCGCAGCTGCGGCCGCGGCGCCGTCCATGGAGGCTGCGGGTTGGGGACTCGCAGCAGCCGGACTGGCCGTCGGAGCCCACGCCGGACTCGCGGTGGCCTTCCGTGCCCGTGCTGCACGTAAGGCCGAGACGAAGCCGGCAGAGAAGAAGTACGTGGAGACGGTCGCGCGGACGAGCGCCTCTTCGAGCAGGTCTACTTGCAGTACACGTCGGAGTACTTGAAGGGCCCTCTCTACTGGCACCCGGCCCGGACATTCACTAGTAACACTGGTACTATTCCTTAGGGTTCCTTTTTTAGTAGTTTTACATTATGCTTCTTAAACTGTAGTATTCTAACGAACACGGGCCTTACATTCACCTTAAGAAGAAGGCACCCGGACAAGCTACAGGGCTGGCTCCCAGATTACCCGGGCACGCCCATGATCAAGGAGGGCAAGTACACGAGCCATGTGATTGGAAACCTCAAGGCTTTCAGCTCAAACGAGCTTCTGGGTGGCATTTCGGGATGTTTTGCAAACTTTCCCTTAGGGTCCTTTTGAGGTAGTTGGTTCAAAAAGACTGTAGGGGGCCCAAAAAGTATAGAACCCAGGCTTGCATTCCTCTCCATGCTCTTCTTTGGCGTCGGCCTCTATGGCAACCTGCAGTTCAACTTCTACGACCCGCAGTGGGCCAAGGTGGATGCTGGTGGCTTCTTCAATGTGTCCTACATTGTGGAATCCTTCTTGCTTCCCATCTCCTTCTTCATGCACATCGCCTGCTATATCCAACGGCAGAACGGGAAGTGATGGCATCATGTGCTGTGGTTTGTTAAATTTTGAGAGGGTCGTCAACGTCTGGCCCCTCGCTGTTCCCAATGCACGTAAGACGTGCTAGGTGAGTGGGAGTATTGACAGCTGCTCCTTTACTCGCCAGACTGGGACGCGACAGAGCGTTTAAAAAAGGCGAGGCTGCAACTTATCACGCTTGTTTCCTGAAGATCCATGCTACCCTTGCACTGAGCAGCGATCTTTCAAACATTGGCAGGATAATGACAATACTCAGCATAGAAAGTATTGAGAATATAACAACGAGAGATAAAAAGAGGGTTCCTTTCCGAATGAATCCGTAGCCAGGGAGCTCTTGAGCTCAGGAACCCGGCAACCGACACGGCTTGTAAGATCCCACCTGCTGGCATCGAAAGTCTCGAAAACCTGAGCGTGTTAAGAATCCACATTTCAGATCTACCATAATCTAGAAGCCTACATTATTGCCTCCTAGGGCTCCTAATGATAGTGATACTACAGAGGAGCCCAAAACCCCATTCTAATCATGAAGGCCCCTACGGTACTCATGGCAACGAAGCTTTTTGTCTGCTTGTTTGCTTTCAAGCTTAAGCTAAGTGCCGCTGATCAGTGCGACCGTCATGGTTGCAATATGTTGCGCTGGTGATCGCGACAGTCGGATTTTCTCGCAGTGTTTGCTCCCGCTGCCATCATCAGTGTTACTGTTTCTGTTGTCAGCCTTCGTGCGGTTGTCGTCATCCTTGCCGTAGCACCAGTACATGCTTCGTGGCAACACAGCGGTTTCCAATACAGGGAGTGATGATAACAGCTGTATCAACAGCGAGTCATTCCAGTAGAAGTAGTCAGTAATACCTAGCAGAAAGCAATAACGAGCAACCACTATCGCGGCGACAGCAAGCACTTCGTTCGATTCTTGGCACACCCACCGGTAACGTCACACAAGCCTGACAAACCCGCAAGCAAGACGACGAAGAGCAAGTTGCTGGCTCGGGTCGTTGGCCTCATTGTAGGCTTCTGAATGATCTGAATGCCTTAGACTTCTCACTGGGTCGCGCCGAGATAAAACGTCAAGGCTAAAGCAACAATAGGATCCTCAACATTATGACTCCCTCAAACGGGCCCATGATAGTAAGAGCCCTGCAGATCACCTCGCCACTGAAACCTTCACAGAGCCAGCAGTTGAACTTTCTAGAGGTCACCGGGTGCCTTGAACGCCAATCCTAAAGCCCCCACACTGTAGGGCCCAAACTCTATGGCTTTGAATTCTAGCTAGACCATATCCCCTGCCAGGTGGAGCACTTCTGGAAGGACCCAGTTCGCAGCTGACGTAGGTTCGGGGGGGATGTATATTCGACGGCTCTGGAGGCTTTGTTTTTGTTGTGGGCCGTTTTTGGTTCAAAATATGGCTCTTTTGATCGGGATATCCAAGCAAAGATTCTGCTTTCCCTCTAAGATTTCGACAGGGAGTATAGTGCGTGCAGGGCTCCTCAACTTGAAGACGGAGACCCTTTATAGTTCCTTTTTATGGTTTATATTTAGAACCCTATAAGGTAATCCCCAAAAAGGAACTACCCTTCTTTACCATGGAGGTCTGAATACTTAGCGACCCCCCCACACGCTCTTGCCTTCCTTGAACTTACAGCCGTGAGGACCGCCTGCCGGCTATCTTCGATTCCTTAACGACGCTCCAGAAGCATTTTACCGGAGGCAGCGTTTCTGGGTGAGTTCTTCAGCATGCGTAGCTATATAGTAAGCCCCAAAAAGTTGGAAACCGGGTTAAGGCCAAATAGTGCTGGGATACCCTATACACTAGTATTAAGGATTGAGGCTATTGGGTTTCCAACTTTTGGGCTTCTACTGTAAGGCTAGGGTTTGAGGTTTAGGGTTCAAGGAAGTGGGTGGTAGGTTTTGAGAAAGCAGGGAGACCCAGGGATTTCAACGCTTGAGGTTTAGGGTTCTGGATCAGCGTTCAGCGTGTGATTCAAGATTGACGATTCCAACCACGATCTTGGAAATTGGGTTGTGCTTTGGCTTACTTGTGCAGGCTTTGTTGTTCATGGCTTCCCGGTCATCGTTTTCGCCGTAGTGGATGTCGTCGTGCGGCAATGACGGTGGTGGTGGCGGCGGCGGTGGTGCTGGTGGTCGACTCGGGGGTTGCAGTGGCAGTGGCTGTGACTGTCTTCATCGTGATCGCTTTCGGTTTACTTCGACGTTTAGCCATCTTCATGTAACGAGTTTGGCACCGCTGACTTGTTCATCGTGCCGTCCTGTGCTTAGCGCATGATTGTTGCGGTAATCTTCAGGCAAGTCTTCGGTAGACCATGTACTTTGCAACGCGAGAAGGTTACTGCAAAAGACATTGCAACATAGCATGTGTCTTGGTCATCTTCCGCAATACGAGAAGGGAGAGCACAACAACTGTTCTTGTTCTTCTTCTTGTTCTTGCTGCTGTCACTACAGTCATTACAGTCACGCAGCCACTGCAGACCATGATTTACTGTCGAGGTGATCCCACATTGAATCGCGAACTGCCATCAGACCGGAAACTGCGCATCGAAAGACCGCAAAGCAAATCATCAATCGGACAATCTTCCTGAAATCCGATGCCCCGTCGAAGTCGTAAGCTTTTTGAGTTTGGGGCTTCTGGTTAGGGGTTTAGTATGGGTTTACGTCTTCACTTCGTGGCTTGCGGTCAAAGCCCGAACTCGAAGCCCTGAAGTGTTCAGTGGTTCAGGGATCCGAAACACTGAAATGTTGGAGCTGTCGTGGCAGGGGCAGATGCCGAAGAGACGGGTGAGACTACCCTCGAGGCTACCGGATCGAACGGCTTTCGAGCAATACAGGGGCTTTGATAAGCCAACTTGAGTTTAGGGGGTTTAGGGTTTAGAGTTTAGGGCTGTGCGTTAGAGTATAAGAGAAGTATACGTATATACGGATTGTCACTAGCGATGCACGGTGTACGGGTGAGGGTAGCTATTCGCTTTTCGATCGCCGGCTTCAGTAGTTGGAGCTTTGTGACTAGTCTACGAGGCACTAACGGGGGTTCTGTAGAGCGGCTGTGCTTCTTCGAAGAACATGTCTGCACGATGTCCAATAGCCTGCTTGTTTGTAATTCCGATGGGGCAGATCTGGGACCTCTTTTGTCTGGGCTTCCATATTGAATCTGAACAAGGGAACTAAGTTGGCAGGATTAAGGCTGGGGTTTAGGGTTTAGGGGAAGATTCTGAGCTTGCAGGACCTCAGCAGCGGTGAGTCGCTGTGGGAGTCTCGGGCCATCAACTCAGGTTACATCCGGCCGACGGGTTCCGGTTTTTTCAAGGATAATAATTCAGACGGTGATTTTGTTGGCTGTGGGGTACTGCACGTGTTTCAGCAAGAGCCGCTACCACTGCCGCTACGTGTTGCCACGACGGCGTTGCGACGAACTAGAGCCGTACAGTTCTGTCAGAGTGATGTTACCGTTGCTTAGGTACAGTCTCCGATGGCGTATCCCCCGAGCTAGCTGCAGCTACAGCAGACACAGACAGTGGTCTGCCATGAGGTCTGGAGCGACATCAGCGTTTCCGACTTCAGGCACAGGGGATATTAGTTTGGGATTGGGATCTCGGCGTGTTGCGGCGGTGCTGTCATTCCGATTGAGATTTCTGGCCGATCAGAAACTTCGGTAGATTGTTTGATTGATTGAGAGATTTCGAGATTGAGATAGATAGACGGATAGCTAGATAGTTCGCAAGATACCGAGGCAGACAGAGAGACAGAGAGAGACAGAGAGTTGCAGACCCTCAGCTGGCATTCGTTCTCAGGGCCAAGGGGTTGGGCCCGTACCAAGCAGAAAAGTCCCTTAGTTCCCCCATACCCAGCCTTTAAACACTTTGGGTTCTTACCATTTAGTAGTAAATCTGAAAGTGTGACCGTTTCTTTCCCTGGCTTATTGGGAAAGTAAGAGTTTGAAACCTTTGGTTGTCTGTAAATAAAGTCGAAGTATGATTTTTCAATTTGCCGAATCCCCGCACCTCCCAAACCCGAGAATGCTCTACAGACAAGGCCACGTTAGATACGATAACTGCCCCTACGGGCAGTGGAGGACCCTGCTGTTGGAGCGGGATGACCTGCGCCGCACAGTGAAGTCGATGCAGCAGGCCGAGCGGGACTTCTTAAGGAGCCGATAAGGAGCCCGGAGCCCTTTACCAGGTTTGTCGTGGAGAGAGCTACGCCAGGTTCCCCTGTTCTAACTCCAAGAACCAGGGAACAACTGCCGTGTCAAAGTGCGAAAACAAGGATGAAGGACTCGAATTTATGGTGTAGCAGTTTAGGATCACCGCAAGCCATGCACAGCTAGTCTCTGTAGGGTGAGGTAATCCTCAGCTTGCATGGCTTACGATGCATGGTGTAGGGTCAAGTGTACAGCGCCCTGGTTAGGGTTAAATATTTGGGGCCAAGGGATTAGATTTGCGGGCGTGGCGCTTAAATTGAAGGTGCAGGACTCAGCAATCAAGGCTTGGATACAGGCTTTGGCATGATGCCACGGGTTGAGAAAGGTTGATGTTAGAGATTTTGGGTTTCCTGGCCTCAGATATCGTGTACTGGATATAGGGACTCAACCAGGAGCATTGGACATGCTTGCGCTCGACACCCTAACTTTGAGGACGAAGACCCACCGTTGCGCATTGAGCATTGTCCTACTAGTAGGTAGTATTGGGGAGACCCCTTAAAGGGGACCCCTCATAACCCTACCTATGGCTCTCTTAAAAGGGACCTTATTGAGAGGGTCTATATCCCCACGAGTCCCCCTATTCCTAGCTCCCAAATCGAGAGCCAACCAAGTCGGCGGCAAGTTCATCACAAGGGCTTTGTCTTCTCAACAGGGCAATGTGGACGCGACGTTGTTTCACAAAGCAACAGTCCGCTCGACTACGAAACCTCCCACCCCCGAGAGCCCTAAACCCAAACCCGGAACTTCGTGGTCGAAGGGCCCATAGTCTGGGGTATACTGTAGGGTTTAGAACCATTTTCACAGACTTTGACGGTGTTACTTGCTTGATTCTGGCCGGGCGGGTGGCTGCGTGATAAAAACAAGATAGCTGGGAAGCCATGTCCAAAACATTCCAAAACTATGCGGAAAAAGCCGAACACACCGTAAAACCCTTTTGGCAGAAACTCTGCGTGCGACGTTTGAGATTCTGCAACACACCACGTGATGCGAGCCCTGCACGCTTGCACCAAAACCTTTTCGCACCAAAACCTTTTCGAATCTTCGGGTTTAGGGATTTAGCCATGAGTGCTGGTGTTTGTCGCATGCTGTGTCCACTGTTGTTCGCTTTCGGCGCGAACTCGCACTGATAACCCGGCAACACACCTCAGGAGGCCTCTCTGCAAAAGGGTGGAGCTTGGCTGAAGGGATTCAGGGCTTAGTGCCTGGCAGTCCCTTATCTAAAAAACGGAGCTATGGTCAACAGCAATGGTGCAAGGCTTTTGCCTCTCCACGGCTTTGTGATCTCAGGTGTTCCCTACAAAACTCTGCCCCCCTAAACCCCTAAACCCTACAAAAAAAACTCTGCCCCTTCTGCTTCTGGGGAAAACCTGGGGATCCTCGAGTTTAGGGGGCTGAAGCTCAGAGCCCAGCTGCAAAAAAGGGTTTAGGGTTTAGGGTTTGGGGTTTAGTGTTGGGGGTTTAGGGTTTGGGGTTTGTGGTTTAGGGTTTAGGGCTCCTGCAAGACCCACCAAAGCCCGAAAGGCATTGGAGACGTCCACACCTGCGCGGCCGAATCCCAAGATGTATCTGGCGAATTTTTAGGGGGTTCAGGGTTGTAGGTGTGGGTTTAGGGCCTTTTTTGTTTAGGGTTGTTTTACCATTTTGGGGTTCAGGTTTTTAGGGCTTAGGGTTGCCAAAGTTGCAGATTTTGGGGTGTAGGCTTCAGGGTTGTTTCAAGGTTCGGGGTATTTTTGCCTCCGGGCCGGGAGTTACGATTTTTTGCGTCAGGTGAAGGATTTACAGTAGAAGCCCAACTTTTTGGCAACCCAGCACGCAAGAGCCTCATTCCTTTTTCAGCGTGAAGGAAAAGGGAGTCTTAGCACCAGTTGTCCTTAGTCCGGTTTCCGACTGGGGTTGACTATAGCTACTTAGTTCGGATTCCGGGTGCTCGAGGTTCTGTGAGATCTTTCTGTCCTCGAGTTGCATGTGATGCTGGGGATGTTCTGTCAAACTGCCAAGCCTTGAAAATCCACCGGCGTTTTAGCCCGTATAAGCCCTAAGCCCTACGCTGAGTATGTAGCAAGGAGTCGTGAGTGAGAGCGTGCCATGTATAAGTGAGTGGCATCAGTATGCTAGTGCACCACTGTGGACGTGTTGCTTTTGGTGGCAAGCGAATCTGCATGTTGCCTGTCGAAGTGCTACAGCCAGTGTGCGTAGACGTGCCTGCTAGCCTGCTGAGGTTGGTTTAGGCTCTGGGCTCATCCCCAACTTCTATAAGGGCCTAAAAACTTATCAATACTATTTTGGGGGGTTACAGCGGTTCCGTTCGAACCCGGTATAGGAATGGGTCGTCTCATTGTTGAGGGAATTTAATTTTGGGAAACCTCGGCCCTGACTAAGGCCATAATAGCATACTGTATGCCATGGTGAGCTGCTATACTATGCCGTGCTATACTATACTCTCCCCTACTCTACTGTACTGTACGATGATGTGCGATGATATACTTTACTGAACTCTACTTTTTTTTACGAAACATACCAGAATATACCGTAACATACTGTAGTAGTTGTGCTCTAGGTATCTTCATTTCCCCACCTCGGCCCAGCTCTTCCAAGCCTCTGCGGCTCCTCGGAAACCTACCGCTGTGAGGGTTTAGGGCTTGGGCTTGGTTTAGGGTTTAGGGTTTAGGGTTTAGGGTTCAGGGTTCAGGGTTCAGGGTTTAGGGTTTAGGGTTTAGGGTTTAGGTTAGTTTATGATCCATTAAAACGGAGGTTGTCGCCCTATACAGACGTGCCCTAAACTTACCCTAAACCTTAAATTCTAAACCCATGCATTCCTAAACCCCTAAACCCTAACCCCCAAACCTTAACAAAACCTACAAAGGCCCGCGCGGGGCCGCCTGTCTTCTTTCGCTCTCAGCACGGGCCCCGGCAGAGCAGACTTTGCTTGTCGCAAAGGGGGTTCAGGGTTCGGGGTTTAGGGTTTAGGGGTTTAGGGCCCAGGGTTTGGGGTTTAGGGCCTAGGGTTTCGGGGTTTAGGGCTTAGGGTTTAGGGGTTGTGAGTTGTGAGGGTTCAGATTTATCGGGTTCTCAGGGTGGCCAGTACATAGGGATATGGGGTTTTCGTGGTCGTGCAGGATTCGGGTTCAGGGGCTAAGGGCGGTTCTGAGGGTTACGGTTTAGGGTTATGAGTCGTTAGGCAGGGTCCGTTTCCCATGTTTGAGAAGTCGCTGCTTCTTGGTGTGCCATTCGGTGTCCATCACGGTCTCAGACACCCAGTTGAGAAACTTTGTTGGTCGGCTGTCATGAACTGGCGCGGGTCGGGAAAATTTCGATGAACCGCTTTCGTGCTTGTGGAAGTAAGTAAACCAAACCATGTAGGGGCCTTAATATTTGGAATTGGGTTTTCGGGGTATGACAATGATGATAATAATGATAACGAACCCCCCACAATATATAGCCAAATACTACGGCCCCCTTGTAGTACCCTACACCCTTTCGGCGGCATGGCAGAGTCTAAGTCTAAGTCAAGTAGGAGATGATCAGCACAGACAAGGCGTAATGCGACGCCGACATGAAACCCCGGAAGTCGTAGGGCCCCAAGCCCCTGAAGAACTGAACTTCAAGGTTTACACGATACACTATGTTATATTATGGTTTCTTTATATTATATTGCGCAATATTCTACTTTTATTTATGTAAAATTTGTATTATACTAGATCATACTACATGATCTGATATTGAGCCCTAGAGCCTGAACCCAAAGCCTGGAAACTTGCAGGTGGCTTGCGACGAGCACGAGGCTTAAATGGTCCACAGAAAGAGAAGGGGTTAAGGCTTTGCTGTAAGGAACCTTGGGATATTCCTATGCCATCCCTGAGCCCCGAACACTAGTTACTACACACTAAACCCCGAGACCCTGAACCCTAAATCTTACATTCTCCTAAACTGCCTTAAACTAAACCCTAAGCCCTAGCCCAATGAACGAGCACTCCGCAAGAGCCCTTGATACTTAGTCTTGCCAACCCTGCGAAATGGCTCAAGAGCATCCTGGACGTGGAGTCGATTCTGTAGTCTCTGTAGAACCGTAACGGTTTGGGGGGGCACCGGGTGTACGTTGCAGGGGCTAGCTTCCCTCCTGACTCTCATGTGATTTTTTGCGCAGGAATACTTTTGTTTACTGGGGAGCCTATCTGCAACTGGATGAAGGGCGCCATTTTTTTTGGATGCGCGGCAGTGTTTTGGGCCTAGGGGCGCCAATGTTTTGGTATTAGGGGCGCCATGTCTTGCTTGGCTTTGGCGAGCGCCAGTGTTTTTGGATTAAGGGCGCCAGTGTTGTGGAATTGAGGGAGCTGGGACCAAGGGCAAGACAGAGCCATGAAATTCACAAAACCTAGGAAAGCCTATTGGGATAAGGGCTGACTCCATAGAGAAAGACAGTGCTTCCAAGCGGAGTTGTTGCCCGAAACCCGAAAAACCCTAAGCCCTAAGCCCCAAACCCGAAGCCCTAAACCCGAAAACCCTAAACCCGAAGCCCTAAACCCGAAACCCTAAACCCGAAACCTAAACCCGAAACCCGAAAACCCGAAGCCACAAACCCGAAACACTAAAACCCGAAACCCTGAACCCGAAACCCGAAAGCCCGGAAACCCGAAAACCCGAAGCCGCGCGACTGAGTCCCTGAGCCCGGCGGCGCTCTTGCGCTCCACGAGCTCGCGGCTAAAGTCCGAAGGCCCGGGGTTCTCTCTGAAGTGACTTGTGGGTTCTAGGGTTATAGGGTTTAGCTTTTAGTTTTTTGGGGTTTAGGGTTTATAGGGTTTAGGGTTTAGTTTTTTGGTTTAGGGTTTATATAATAGGGTTTAGGGTTTAGGGTTTAGGGTTCTAGGGCTTACCTGGACCCCGAAAGTATGTAGAATCATCGCCCTTTATAGGTTTTGGGCTACTAGGGCTTTTGCGGCTTAGGGTTAAGCTTCAGGGTTTAAGCCTTGGGGGGCTTTAGGGTTCGGGTTTTTTAGGGCTTTAAGCCTTTGGGGTTTGGGGTTTTAGCCTTTAAGGTCTAGGGTGGTTCTTGGTTTGGGGTTATGGAAGTGCAGTCCCGAGAGCTGTTGGGCGACTGCACAAGTCCTGATGCAAAAACCGGGCTTCAGGATTCAGGGTGTTGGGGTTTGGAGGTTCGGCGCGAGTTGCGGGGGTTTCAAGAGGGATTTGGCAGGAAGTAGGCTTAAGGTTTAGGGTTGAGGGTTGGCTGAAACTGGGTAGACTCGAGCCGAGCGGGGAAAAGTGTTTAGGATTTAGGTTTTGGCGACTAAGACAGTCGTAAGGCTTTAGAGTTGTATCCAACCCAAGCGAGTCCAAGAATGAGGGGGTTTGGTAGGGCGTTTTTTGGGGTAGGGTCTACCAGAGTTTAGGCGTAGGGTGAGAGTTTAGGGCGTATAAGGTTTGAAGGGAAGGCGGGTCTCATCATGAGTTTTTTTTTTATATCAAGGCTTCATGCAGTTCCTTCAAGATTCGTGTCGGGTTTTCGAAGGCCGTTTTTCGGAGGGGTTTTGTAGGGCTTTCTATAGGCACGTACTACGGTTTTAGAGTCACAGGAGGTAGGGGCTCCTGGAATGAAAGACTTGACTTGAGGTTACGGGGTGTCGGGAAATATGAGTTTAAGTTTTAAACACAAACATATATACACTGAAATATACACGTGGATATATACACGCGTACTACATATATAACCATATCCATATGAACTAACTAACTACGATAGGTTTCGGTTTCCGGATGTAAGACTAAGGAACGGCGTATGTAGGGGTTGTACCCTAAACCCCTAAACCCTAAACCCGAAACCCCTAAACCTAGATATGTAGGGATTGCACCCTAAACCCTAAACCCCTAGATCCATCAACAAGAAGCTTGATGAACTGGTTGAAAAGACCACAGTGCTTCGAGTTATCGTCGATCAACACAGGGACAAGATCTTGGCCCAGAACAAGGAGGGACACGGCTGGACGAGCAAGCTTTTGGCCGATGTGACGAGCCTCCTGAGAGGGCTGGGACCGGTGGTTCCACAGTTGAAGACGTTGCATGATATGGTCTGCGCGGGCAGGGATGCATCGAAAACTGCCCAGGACACTTTGTCCGCCTCAAGCGAGGCGGTCCAGAACTGCGAGGACAGGTTGGTACGCCTGGAAAGTTTGACGACGGGTATAGTGGACCAGCAGAGTGAGACAGAAGCCAATTTGAGAGCCCACTTCGAGCAGGTGATGAGTGAGCTGCCGGCGATCCAGGAAGTCTTGAATCGGCTGCCCAAGCTCCCGCAGCGCAAACCACCGTCGACAGATAAGCCACCGGCGGAGACCACGGCCAGCTCTTCCAACAGTGTGCCCAGTCACCCGACGACGCCGCCGACGACGCTGGGGCCCATGGGGATGAGTGCACCACCGGCGCCAAGCGTTGGGTTCTTGTGGTTCTGTGGTTAGAATGCTCAGTGCAGGCCGTAGGCCAGCGCTAAGAGTGTGCCCTTGGCAAACACGGAAAACACGGAAACCGGCGTGAATAGGCACTGAAGCAGGTGAGAGGCTCAGCATTATTTCGGAGCCAGGTGCAACCGTCCAAACATTTGGGAGTTTCCGAAAATAAGGGGTACCTTATTTGGGGTCCTTATAATAAGGATCCTACTATTTAGGGTACTGTGTTGGGGTCCCCTATTTTCGGAAACCCCCATTTCCTCAGTCGCCCAAGCAGAGAGGTTCTGCCAGCTCCTCATCGCAGCTACGGGATCTGGAGTCTTCGCCGCCGAAGTCCCTTACAGATGTCCGGAAGGCGCGCCTCCGGTCCAGGGTTTACGATTCAACATTGTGTGTCATTATGTGTTCCGGATTCTCAGCATGCGTGTAGAAACCGAGCGAACTGCCAGCAGCCAACATTAAAGAGAAGGCCTGGCGAAGCAACTGATCCCTTTCCTGTGTCCTATGTACCGCAAACCGTACTGACCCATTTTGCAGCAGGAGGTTTTAATCACCGGGCTTTGGAGATTCAAAATGCTGCTTCATCCTGACATTCCGAGTTTAGCCTTTGTGCATGGCTACAGTGATGGTGAATTGTCACTGGGAGGGTTGACTTAGGACGGCCCCTATTTCATTAAAGCCCCCTATACTTTTCTAAACCCTCATAGACACCCTGAATAGCAACCCCTTACAGAAGCCCGTTAATGGACCCCTTCTCTTAGTCTTAAAAGGAGCCCATTCCAATCCTTAAGGTCCCTATATCATGCTTCCCAAGTGGAAGATCCCGGCCTCTGCTCCCATCGAGAACCAGTCCCTGACCCTGCGCGCAGTTGCCCTAAAGCATCCAGACAATAATAGTAGTCACAATACAAGATAAGAATAGGAATATAAGTAAACAGCTAGGTATTTTCGGTAGACTTCTCTCTCTTCAGCTCTAGGCCGAAGCTTGCTAGAGATCTCAGGCCCATAAACCTTACATCCCTTACATCCCTAATGCCAAGCGTCATAGCTCTTACCCTTCAGCTTCACCCTAACCCACCCCTTAACTTCCAAACTCTGATAACCGCAGAGCTCAAAAGGGCCATTCAAAAACACTAAACCCCTCAACGCTCGAAGAGCGTGACACGAACGTGTTAAGCTTAGGGAAATTTGGGTCTCCACAGTTCGGTGTCCTTCGCATGAGGATCCCGAGTGCCTAGGCTAAGGGCTTAGGGTTCAGGGGCTTTGGGTTTAGGGCTCAGGGGCCTCAGGGGCTTTGGGTTGAAGGCGCAGGGTTCAGGGACTTAGGGTTAAGGGATACGGGTTGAGGGGTTAGTTTAGGGGTTTATCGTCTACGGTTTCCTTCTGAGTAATAATATCCCTTCCCGTCTCTCGTAGTAGCAGCCCTGTTCCAATCTCCCCCGAGATGAGGGTGTTGTGTTTACCTAAGGTATGGTTGATGGTATAAATCCTGCATTACCCGTTGCCATAAAAAGGAATTATACTTTACTTCCCATAGTTTAGGGCCCAGAGGTAATGCAGGATCAATATCATCAACAGGACGCCCCGCAATTGTATGAATGAGGCCATTCAGCCGCAAAGGTCTGCAGGGACATAGGTTTGACTTGGGGTTTAGGGCTTAGGTCTAGTTTGTTCAATCCAGCATAGGGGTTCGAGCTTGAAGTCAGAGTTTAGGGTTTGGGGGTTTTTGCCTTTACGGCCGCCACAAACCCAACATCTACCGACAAAGACAAACATCACGAGCACCTTTTGAACAAACTGTTCTGTTAAACACACCAGCCTCAGTAAGCAACTTCAGAAAGCAACAGCACTGGCTGCCTAAACCGTAAACCCTAAACCCCTAAACCCTAAAGGAAAAAACCGTGGCAGGAAGAAAGATTTCTGCCAATTGCTCGGCTACCAGGTCGGGACCATTTGGGAACCCGAAAACCTAAACTCAAACCCTAAACCTAGGGCTTTTGTGGCGCATTGCGTTCTTTTGCTTCATAGCTTCAAGGCTGCGGCTATGGAGCTTAGGCCGGTTTAGGCTTGAGTGTGATTTATGGTTGAGGGTTCGGGCTTAGGATTCATTTTTGCGCAAGGCTTAGCGATTGGACTTTGGGCAGGTTGGGGTCTTGAGACTTCGGCTACACCCCCAATACCTCCTGATTCCCAATCGCTTAGAGACCCTCGAACCCTAAAGCAAAGACTTAGGCTTGAAGGGCTCGTTGTTTTTTTGTGAGTCTCCGATCCCGGCTCGTGCGAAACCGTGAACACTCCGCAATAGAACCCTTGTGATCGAGCATGTAATATAGGGGCTTCCTTATTATAATTATACTACAAAGGACCCTAAAACCCTACTAAGGCCCCTACATGATGTGTAGAGGCCCTCCCAAGGCTTTCTGAGCCCCAGAGCAGTCTTGAGCTTGCCAACTACGAGGCGAAGAAATCTTCTCCAGTGGTGAGTGGTCAGGCAGCCAAAAGGGTCGCAGATGCTCTCAGCAGACCTCAGCCACATCGCTTGTTGGCGAAAGTGCGGGGGTTTGGGGAGATGCTGTTGGGCTTGTGTCCGATGGAGGTTTGTGTGTAAAATTTAGGGAGGGCTTCGGGAGAGAAATGGAAAGAGGGCTTGGAATTATCGTTCAGGACTACACAGTTCTTTATCTAATAATGGTCGTATTGAAATGGTCGAAGCTAAATCAATATACTCTATCACGCAAGTGTTCAGACTGAATAATGGGAGGAAACGAAAGCCGTACAAGAATCTCTGAATATTTCGACCGAGGCTATAGGGAAGAAGTGGTTATTTCTGGCGATTATCGTATTTTAATAATATTTCTTTTCTTAGTTATGATATTTCTAAATTTAAAATTCACTAAAACTTTTGGACTCTCAAGATAATGATAGGAGATACACAAGACATGATCGTATATTCAAACAAAGGAGAGGTTATAAGATATACTGTATGCGAGTGATGTATGGCAAAATATTAATTATAAGATCTATATTTTTCACGGCAGCAGAACGAAATTAAAATTATTTGTAATACCAATATTGATTCTATTTGTGGATCTCTATATCTTTGGAATCTATCTTGATCGAGAATATATAAATTTATATTTTTATAAATTAATATGATTTCTGATAATATTAGCTTTTAATTATTTAATTTTATCTCAAGATGAGATTTCTATATCTTCTCGATTATATCTAGAATTATAAGATAAAGAATAGAATTGATAATATTATTTATTTC